CTGTTAAAAATAATACGTTTTTGGGATCAGCAGTTAGCGTAGTGGCTATGTCGCTGGACTCCCACGTAGTCGACTGCGGTTCAAGTCCCGGACCCGGTGGCTTAAACTCACGCCGGGCGCATGTGCGTGCATACCCAAGATCCCGAGAGGAGAATGGAGGAGAAGGGATTGTGGCGTGGCCATCCCCCCTGTGGGGTGATTTCTCGCTTTCTGTCTCTCTGTCTCTGTCTGGTGAGCGCACGTGCCCTATAGCAAAAACCTCTCCAGAAAAAAAAATACGTTTTTATAAGACTTCTGACGTTTTCTTTATAATGTGCCTCAGAGGAGCTCTTAAACGTTTTTGGTTTCCTTTGAAGCTCATGGATCTCGATGTCTGTATTTCTGCCTGTGTTGGGAAGTTTTCAGCTGCTATTTCCTGGGGTAGAATTGGCTGTGTCTTTTCCCGTCTGTTCACCTTCTGGGATGCCCACTTTGCAAATGCTCGGCTCCCTGTTGGTGTTCCAGGCTTCCGCACGGCCTTTTCTCTTGTCCTCCCCTCCTCCGCCCTCGGCCGCACTGTTACCAGTGGGCACGCTCACTGTAGCGGGCCAGGAGGCGTGGGGGGGTACTGAGGAAGTGCCCCCAGGGGAATGGGCAGGTTGCAACCCCTTTTCCTCTATCTCTTCCTCTTTGCGTGACGTCAGGGAAACATGCACATGTAGCGGTGTGGTTTTGAAGCCACGAGGCCTGAGCCTCGGACTGCACAGCTGGCCACGTGGGGCCCACTTCGTACCTTAACCACCTCTCCGTGGGCTGGCCCTGTTTTCTTCATTTTTGTCTTTCTTTTTTATGGTTTGTGCGATTTCAAAGGTTGCATCTTTAAGTTCCGAGAGTATTCTGCAAGGTCCGACCTGTTGGTGCTCTTCATAGAATGTCTAAATTAACTGTGTTATAACTTTTTCATCTCCAGGTTATCTTTCTGATTTTTAAAAAAGATGCCTGTGTTTCTGCTAAATTCCTCGTATGTGTCACAGGATTTCTTTCGTCACCTCCTGGCGTTGTCTGTACTCTCGCCTGTCGGTGAATTTTGCTGACCGGTGTTCTGAAACCCCTCCCTGGCGTTGCTGTGGTGCCCTGCGCTGCTGGCAGTTGGTGAGCGTGTGCTCCTTTAGAGAAGCATATTCCCTCTTCTTTCCATAGCTCTTGCATTCCTGTGTTACTCTTTAGGCATTTGGTAGGGAATTCGCTTTCCTGTAAAGGAGGTGGATTCCCTGGGCCAGCCACGCTGCCCTGCGGGGAGCTGCCCGGGTACAATGACGCTCCACCGGGTGTGAGGCTCCCCTCCAGGCGCTGCAGCCGAGGAAACGTGCGGGCTCGGTGTGCGTTCTGTTTCTGTTGGGACGAGTTGCACACACGGTGAGTGTGGGTTCTGGTTGGGCTGTCATTCCGGGCATGACTTGTTTCGTTTGCCGTGTGTGCGCTCCAGCTCAGGGAGAGCAGCAGAGAGAAGCAGCTCTGGAGGTGACTGGGGGCGGGAATCTGTCTTTGATGTCCTGGCTAGTGCAGCAG